TGCTGGAGAGGGTGTGGAGAAAAGGGAACCCTCTTACACTGTTGGTGGGAATGCAAACTAGTACAGCCACTATGGAGAACAGTGTGGAGATTCCTTAGAAAAACTAGAAATAGAACTGCCATACGACCCAGCTATCCCACTTCTGGGCATACACACCTAGGAAACCAGAATTGAAAGAGGCACGTGTACCCCAATGTTCATTGCAGCATTGTTTACAATAGCCAGGACATGGAAGCAACCTAGATGTCCATCGGCTGATGAATGGATAAGAAAGCTGTGGTACATATACACCATGGAATATTACTCAGCCATTAAAAAGAGTGCGTTTGCATCAGTTCTAATGAGGTGGGTGAAACTGGAGCCTATTATACACAGTGAAGCAAGTCAAAAAGAAACACCAATATTAATGCATATATATGGAATTTAAAAATATGGTAATGATGACCCTATATACGAGCCAGCAAAAGAGACACAGGTGTAAAGAACAGTCTTTCAGACTCTGTGGGAGAAGGCGAGGGTGGGATGATTTGAGAGAATAGCATTGAAACATATATATTGCCATATGTGAAACAGATTGCCAGTCCAGGTTCGATGCATGAGACAGGGTGCTCGGGGCTGGTGCACTGGGATGACCCTGAGGGGTGGGATGCGGAGGGAGGTGGGAGGAGGTTCAGGATGTGGAACACATGTACACCCATGGCGGATTCATATCAATGTATGGCAGAAACCACTATAATATTGTAAAGTAATTAGCCTCTAATTAAAATAAATAAATTAATTTATAAAAAAAGAAAGAAAGATGTCCCTAAAGGTCAGGAGAAAGGGCTGAGAAGAGAGAGGGGAGAAGTAGGTCAGATGAAGCAGAGCTCTGAGGGTGATGGTGAGGGATTTGGAATTTACTCAGAGAGAACTGCAAAATCACTACAGAATTTAAGATAAAAGTAAGATAAGAGAGCCTGATTTAGTGTTTGAAAGATGGCCCTTGCCGTGTATGTGATGGGACTCAGGGAGGAGGAGCAGAAGAGTCAAGCAAAGAGGTTTTTGCAACTGAGCAGGTGAGTGGATGCAGAGGCGGGGTTTAGAGGTGCCGCCAATTTGGAGGTGGAGCCAAGAGGATTTGCTGATGGACTGGATGTGCAGATAGAGGGTGAAGGAAAGTTGAGGATGTCTGACCCAGATTTGAGGCTCAAGCCCCTGGGTAGAAGGTGGTGCTAGTAACTGAGGTGAGGAAGGATAGGGTGGAAGGAAGAGATCTCCCAGCAGGAGATCAAAATTTTTGGCTTTGGTCATGTCAAGTTGTGAGATGCTTATTAGATACCCAAGGGGTGATGGCAGGCTGGGCAGTTGGGCATGAGAACTACCTGGGTTAGAGAAACCTTCAGGAATCATTGGCACGTGTGAAGTCATAACCTGGGTGGAGGTTATTCATAGTGTGAGGATGAAGAAGGGGAGAGAGAAGGAAAGAGAAACGAAGGCCCAGGACTGAGCCTTCCCCGTACCATCGCTTATCTGCTGGACAGAGAGAAAGCACAAGGCAGTGAGGGAGCCGTGAGTCAGAGCAGAGGAAAGCTGGAAGAATGTGGTGTCTAGAAAGGCAGGATAAGAGAGTGCTTCGAGAAGAAAAGCGGTTAACTGTGCTCAGTACCCCTGGAGTCATATGAATCAAGCAAAGTATCTAAATTCTGTGCTATGCTTAGTTCCTCAGTCGTGTCTGGCTCTTTTTATCCTCATGGACTCCCACCAGGCTTCTCTGTCCATGGGGATTCTCCAGGCAACAATTCTGGAGTGGGTTGCCATGCCCTCCTCCAGGGGATCTTCCCAACCCAGAAATCAACCGGGGTCTTCTACATTGCAGGTCTACTCCTTACCAGCTGAGCTACCAGGGAAGTCCATCTAAACTGTATTTGATGGTAGACACTAACCCTGCAGATTTTCGGGAATGTACCTGTCACAGGAACAGAAACAATCTTTTCTCAGATGGCTTTATTTTTTTTTTCATTACAAAATCAATAATAAGCAAATTTTATTTAATTAAGTTTTTGGAATTAGTAAATTTAATTTAATTTGTGTAAAGAGGTCTGATTCGAGTCAGAGTCCACCTGATTGCCATGAGTTAGATCAGGTCTCAGTGTACAAGGTCACTGCAGGACATAGGGGTCTCCCTCGCCACCTCAGCCACAAGACACTCCCCACCATCTCATGTTTCTGTAATTAGCGGATGACCATACCCAAGTCCCTTCCTCTTTATGTGCTTCCGTTACTTATAATTCTAAAGTTCAGGGGGTTAGACCAAATGCCTTGTAAAGTTCCTTCTATTTTAAGATGACTTGGATTCTATGACTCCACCTAGGACCATTTATCCAGACCTCTTTTATTAGAATGTACTAACATTAATAAAAGGCTTTTTTGATGTTGTTCCAAAAATTTGCCCAAGGATAACATTGCCTGTGTTAATGTGCAAAAGAATACTTTTATTTCTGACTTTTCATTTCATGATTCTGGGCAAAGCAGAGTTAGTAGCAAGATGCAAAATCCCAAATTTCAAATTCCTAGTGCTTTTATGGCATCTTAAAGCCTGACTCATAAATTAAAGTCTACTTTTTAAGGGTACACTATGACTAAGATGCCTGAGATAAGAATTCCAAGCCTTTTGAACACCCCCACATTTTGGCTGTATATTACTGGCAGACTTCAAGGCCTGAACTTTCTATAAAGAAGGTACGCACTGAAAGTTATTTTTTCTGAGGCCTTTGCTCTCCCAAGGACCACAGCATGTGTGGGCTCCTTTCAGGAGTCTGATTAAGTGTTATTTGATGAACCACACATGGCAAAAGGTAGACTAACTCTTGCAGTTCTGTAACAATCTTTTTTTTTTCAGCCTGCATTTCAGATCTCATGAATATTCCCAAACTGTCTTTAAAGAAAGGCTGCAGCAAATGGTAACAAAAGCCATACCTACTGATAACAGAAAAATAGTTACTACAAGAGGAAGTTAATAAATCACCTGCTGACCAATATGCCATTGAAAATGTAGTTGCCAAAGGGTGAAGTGATGAAGGTTACGTGTCATATTTTAACAGATTACCAGGCTTCTTTATCTTTCCTGATAGTCAAGACTACTTTCAGAGATAGGGTTCTTAAAGTAACAGATGGAATTGAGCATTACTAGGAGTTTAATTCATGATTTAGAGACAGTGACTTATTTCATTTTCCATAATTTATGTTTTTAAATCAACCTTTCAATCCCATTCTTATATTTTTCAGCCCCTGGAGAAGGAAAAATTGAAGATTTGACGGTTGACTTTTGGGATACATGGTCAGTGGCTAGAAAACATGAAGCCTCTTAAGGTATCAGTGAGTGAAGTGATCTAGCTGGGTGCTGTGTACCCAGATCTCTAATAAATAGCAGAGAAAACAAGCAAACACACAAAGAATCATTACGTGCTAAGTGGATGCAGAAAATGACAAATGAAAAAAATTACAAAAGGCAACTTTTCCCCCCTAAAAAGTGCAAAAAATCCCATATGGATGGAGACTCCTTTTCTATATAAAAATGCTCACTTGTTGTCGATTCAGTATCAGCAGGAAAATTCTGGGGGTGGAGAGAAACTCTACTGGGGCGAGTGTTGAAAACTACTTAGCACGAGAGAGACAATTAAAAGGAACATTTTTTTTTTTTTTGGTTGAAAAAGTACACAAAAACCTTCTTGTAGAAAAATCAACTGTATTGTTTAGACTTGTGAACATCACTCAACAACCACAAGAATAAAACGGCTATAGTAGATATTATACACACTGCAGAGGTTTTAATTTGGTGGAGATTTGTCTAGAGCAACCACCCAAGGCAAGATGGTCCTGTGGGACCTGAAGAGAATCTAGGTTCCTGAAAGGCCAGAGTGGGTGGGAGAGGCCAGAGGAAATAGGGTGGAGAGCACGGCCAGAAGTCCACACACCTTGGATTGCTAAGTGTGCTGGTTCTCAGGTGGTGCTAGTGGTAAAGAACCTGCCTGCCAATGCAGGAGACAAAAGAGACTTGGGCTCAAACCCTGGGTCGGAAAGATCTCCTGGAGGAAGAAATGGCAACCCACTCCAGTATTCTTGCCCGGAGAATCCCTTGGACAGAGTAGCCTTGTGGGGTATAGTCCATGGGCTTGTGGGGTATAGTCCATGGGGTCTCAAGGAGTTGAACATGACTGAAACAACTTAGCATGCAGCACACATACTGGATAATTCTGTCAGCTTGACTGGGGAAGGGGATGCCCAGGTAGCTGGTGAAACATTATATCTGGGTGTGTCTGTGTGGGTGTTTCGGGAAGAGATCATCATTCTGTTCAGTAGACGAAGTAGGAACGATCCCCTCCCACCAATGAGGGCAGGTACCACCCAATCTTGGAGACCCCAGTAGAATGGAAAAGGCAGAGGAAGACTTTATTCTTGCTCTCCTTCCTCTCCTCCCACCCTGGGACTTCAGAGCTCCTGGTGCTCAGGCCTTTGGACTCACACTGAGTTATGCCGCTGGCTTTCTCTGTCCTCCTGCTTGTAGATTGGATCTCCTGATAAAGGGTTAGTGCGGAAGCCTGGTCCACCTGTTTTCTAGAGATTTGGGATGAAGACATTAAAAAAAATGTTTGGAATATTATCTCCGTGTATTATGGGGTATCTAACCTAAGATGGCTGTGTGGAGGAGGAGGAAGTAGGAGAGGAAATCAGGAGAAGCTTCCAGAAGGAAGTGAGCCTTGAATAGGGTTTAGAAGAAAATGTAGTCAGGGGCTGGTAAAGGAAGACGAAACAGCGTGAGCAAAAGTACAGAGACATGGAACTGTGTTGTACTCAGGGAATAAGGCGTCTATGTTGAAGGCTAGTAGAAAATATGGAAGTCTTGAAGTCTTATTAGTATTACAGTTGCCTGCATGTGTGCTTACTCATGTCCAACTCTTTGAGACCTTATGGACTGTAGCCTGCCAGGCTCCCCTGTCCATGGGATTCTCCAGGCAAGAGTACTGGAGTGGTTGCCATTTCCTTCTTCACGGGATCTTCCCGACCCAGGGATTGAACGCTTGTCTCCTGCATTGGAGGCAGATTCTTTACCACTGTGCCACCTAGGATATTAAAGTTACTTATTATTACTACTTAATAATATTATTGAGTAAATCACGATATTATTATTATTATATTTTATATTAAATAAGATTATTATTATCACTTAATATTGTGATATTGCTTAATATTATTATCATTATTAATGATGTTACTACTTAATATTATCAGCTGCTTGAAGTCTTACAAATATTACAGGGATAGAGAGAGGCTGCTTAAACATCCCTCTCCATTAAACCTTACATGGTGGGTGAGGTGAGAAGTGAGAGGACTTAGGAATAGCCTGAAGTTTGCATGGAGGTGGCCTGAGGACTGAAGACAGCTCACAGGCACATGCCCATCGATGATGACTTATATTAGGGGTCCCCAATCCTCAGATTGCAGACTAGTACCAGTCCAGGTCTGTTAAGAACTGGGCCACACAGCAGGAGGTGAGCAGAGGGAGAGCAAGTGAAATCCCCATCACTCACGTTACGACCTGAACCATCCCACCCACCACCATCCCCTCTCTGTCAAAATTTCTTCTTCCATGAAACATGTCCCTGGTGCCAAAAAGATTGGGGACCACTGTCCTACATGGTGATTGTCTATATGTGTGTGTGCATTAGTTGGTCATCAATTTCACATAAAATTCAGAGTTACTGTTTTGAAACAGGAAAAATCAGATCTGGTAGTACAGGGCTTCTACCTCCACAAATAGCTAGAATGGAGTAGTGGATGCTCAAGTTAGAAGAAGGTGTGAGACCTCAAGATTGCATGGTACCCCCTTCCCTCTGACCTGGCTCTTGTTGGTCATTTATTTGCCTAGTCCCTCCAGCATTTGAATTTGTAATTCTGGAAATTTACTCAATACTGGGTCGTCTTGGGCCACTGAGAGAATCTCTGCCACCTCAGCCTGCCAGGGCTGCATGTCACTACAGCCACTGAAGCTCAGCTTGTTGAGACTGAAGGATTGACACATGCCTGCTCCTTCCGGTCACCAGCTCCGGATTCACGCTCTGGCACGAGTAAGTCTCATTGGTGAGGCTGAGGTCACATGCTCATGCCTCAGCTGCAAAGGCAGCTGGGAAAAGGCATCTTGGCATTTGTAACGTCCTTGATGGCAGGTGGACTCTCCTTCCAGCAAGATTAATAAAATGTTTAGAAGCCAAGCAGCCAAATGAATGACAAAAGTCTACCAGAAGGGGGTTGGCTGTCTAATTGTGGCATGTTTACCAATGGGGCATATTGATGATTTCATGTCAAACACAAAACCTTTGCTTTGATGTGTTAGTCACTCAGTTGTGTTTGACTCTTTGCGACCTCATGGACTGTAACCCCCCAGGCTCCTCTGTCCATGAGATTCTCCAGGCAGGAATGCTGGAGTGGGTTGCCATTTCCTAATCCAGTTTGCTGCAATAGCGTGGCATTATTTTGTGTGCATTAGGAAAATACAGTACAGTTAAGACATCAAACAGTAAAGGACAGGATAAGTTTATAAAGAGTATGAAGTGTGACAATTCAAAGAAAAATCTTAACAGTAGTTAAGGTTTAATTACTTTAAACTATTTTAAGTAGTTAAAAATCTAAATAGTAGTTTAGATGATATTGGAAATAATAAAATTATTATTCAAATGACTGCATTTTTGGAAATTAGAGAAACACAAATCTTAATATTTTGCCTTGTTCTAAGTAATGATGATGGTGATCATGATGATAAAATTGATATTAATAAAACAAAATTTTACATTTATTTAGCATTCTGGGCAAGACTCTGTTCTAAAAACTTTCCATTTGTTTCTTTACTTACACATCATATCAACTTTATGAGATAGTTACTATTATTTTCCCAATTTTACAGATAGGGGACCTAAGGCCTAAAAGGGTTAAACAATGAGAGTTTACTTAGTAAAGAGTCAAATGAGGATCTGAATTCAGGCCACTACTCTCTACCTGACGACTGTGTAATTTAGGGTGTATGTGGATTCCTGTATAGTGATTGCACCAAAAAGCTGCAGAACTGATCTAGGATTTGGAGTCAGAAATTTGGGGATGAGTGTTTTTAGAGTACTCATTTTCATGCCAAAGAGACTGCTCAGCCTTGGCACTATTGATATTTTGAGCAAATAATTATTGTGTGTGTGAGAAGCTGTCCTATGAATTTTAGGGCAGCATTTCAGGCTTTCACCCACTAGATGCCAGTATATCTTCTTCAGTTGTGATAACCAAACATGTCTCCAGACATTGTCCAGTGTCCCCTGGAGACAACATTGCCCGCAGTTGAGAACTCCTGGCCTAGAGAATTCTGAAGTCTCTCAGCGAGAAGCCTAGGAATAATGACCAACATGATAAAATGATGTGACTAAGTTGCCCTGGTATGTTTTTCCTGGGTATTCTTCCACAGTATCATGTCATTATTTGTTAATAGCAGGTGTGTCTCATTTCTCATATCAGAAATAAATACACAGTACCAGCTTGTACCAGCTATTGGTTTTTAATGCAATAGGTGGTGAATCTTTAACTTTGTGGTTTACTTATAAAATGAATAACCAGCTTCTCATTTTTCTAGAATCCAGTGGCTGTACACTTGGCAAGAAATGACAAGTGAACTCAATCTTTTAAAATATTTAAGCCAGTATCTGTTTCTTTCTTTGACTTATTGTTTGGTCACATCAAGAATTTGTGTGGGTGGGTGAGAGAGGGTGTCCTATGTAAAAATAGGATAGACTATAGATTAGGTCCATTCTCTGCATTTGAATACGGTTGTTAGGATTTTCGGTATGATGATCGCTACTATGTTCATGATGTAATAATACATCATAAAACATTGAAGAGCTATGAAAAGACAAATCAGGTGGGGCTTTCTGGTCATTAAATCATTAAATCTTACTAGACACCACAGTCAAGCAATCAGTCAGTTCAGTTCAGTTCAGTCGCTCAGTCGTGTCCGACTCTTTGCGACCCCATGAATCGAAGCACACCAGGCCTCCCTGTCCATCACCAACTCCCGGAGTTTACTCAAACTCATGCCCATCGAGTCGGTGATGCCATCCAACCATCTCATCCTCTGTCGTCCCCTTCTCCTCCTGCCTTCAATCTTTCCCAGCATCAGGGTATTTTCAAATGACTCAGCTCTTCGCATCAGGTGGCCAAAGTATTGGAGCTTCACCTTCAACATCAGTCCTTCCAATGAACACCCAGGACTGATCTCCTTTAGGATGGACTGGTTGGATCTCCTTGCAGTCCAAGAGATTCTCAAGAGTCTTCTCCAACACCACATTTCAAAAGCATCAATTCTTCGGTACTCAGCTTTCTTTGTAGTCCAACTCTCACATCCATACATGACCACTGGAAAAACCATAGCCTTGACCAGACGGACCTTTGTTTGCAAAGTAATGTCTCTGCTTTTTAATATGCTATCTAGGTTGGTCATAACTTTCCTTCCAAGGAGTAAGCGTCTTTTAATTTCATGGCTGCAGTCACCATCTGCAGTCATTTTGGAGCCCAGAAAAATAAAGTTAGCCACGGTTTCCACTGTTTCCCCATCTATTTGCCATGAAGTGATGGGACTGGATGCCATGATCTTAGTTTTCTGAATGTTGAGCTTTAAGCCAACTTTTTCACTCTCTTCTTTCACTTTCATCAAGAGGCTTTTTAGTTCCTCTTTACTCTCTGCCATATGGGTGGTGTCATCTGCATATCTGAGGTTATTGATATTTCTCCTGGCAATCTTGATTCCAGCTTGGGCTTCACCCAGCCCAGCATTTCTCATGATGTACTCTGCATATAAGTTAAATAAGCAGGGTGACAATATACAGCCTTGACATACTCCTTTTCCTATTTGGAACCAGTCTGTTGTTCCATGTCCAGTTCAAACTGTTGCTTCCTGACCTGCATACAGTTTTCTCAAGAGGCAGGTCAGGTGGTCTGGTATTCCCATCTCTTTCAGAATTTTCCACAGTTTATTGTGATCCACACAGTCGAAGGCTTTGGCGTAGTCAATAAAGCTGGAACTTTCTTGCTTTTTTGATGATCAAGCAATAGCATCACCTAATTCTTTTTATTTTACTGTGCCTTGGCCTCCATAGCATCTCCCATAGCATTCTCTGCCAGCCAAAACCTTCCTTCCAATCCCTTCAGATCTATTCAAGCATCAAAGCCCAACAAAAGTCACCTCCTCCCTGATTGCCTCCAGAAGGTGTAATCAGAAGAGCCACTTCCTTACCCTGGCCCCACATGTTATCTATTGCCCATCTTTGTATTCTTTATATTCCATCCAATTAAGTGAGGGACCAGCCCTCCAGTTCAGTATTGCTCCTTGTCTCTTCTGTGCAGAAAATAAGTGAGCTCAGATTAAAGCTGGCAGTTATTTAGGGGTTGAGAATGTTCACACATGACCATTCATATTGACAAATACTGTAGCTGCTTTATTTTTGAAGGTGGATCAGTTCATCCTGACACTCTCACCCCACTGGGTAGTATGCGAGCAGGGTTAAGATACTCTTCTTTAAAAAAATTGAAGTATAGTTGATTTATGATAGTGTTAATTTCAGGTATATGTTACTCCTCATTGGTCTGTTTCTGTTTAAATGCAGCCGTCTCACACGGCTACAGTTTCTAGTCAGCGACCCTCCACTGGGAATATTTTGTCTTCCTATTCCATTTCTCCTCAAGATATGCCAATAGGAACTAAAATAAAAATAATTCAAGAAATTCTTTCTCAACAAACGTGTTTTTCGACTATTATCTTATTTGGACTAAAAAACCCAATTTTTTAAAATTTCAAAAAATGAATCTTGACTTTCTTTGTAATCATCCTTATTTGCTCAAAGGCAAATGGATGATCTTTACTTTTTTGATTAATTTTTTCCTGAATTTTGCTTTCCTGGGCCTACCTCTCACCAGATACATGATTCAGTAATATCTTCTAAAAGGAAAAGAAAGAAAGAAATTACTATGCATTGAGGCTATACAAATTCTAAAATGATATGGTCACTGATGACATTGAATTAAATCTTTGCAAATTTTTAAAGAAAGAGAATTTACTTCTGTAAAGTGAGAGAGCAAATGCTTACATAGACCTGGGCCAAGAAAGAACCAATTTCCATTTTTCCTGGGATCAGCTATAATGGGAGCCAAGAAAGTATCCTATCTCACACTGAGATCTCATTTACAGAGGTCATGACACAGTCGTATTATACTTAATTTGATCCTTGATCACAGATCATACTAGTAGATAAACTTGTATTTCTTGTTGGACAGTTAGATTATGTGTTGCTCAAGGTGTAAAGTTTGAATGACACAGTGTAGAAGGAAACAAAAATATTCCATTTCAGCCAAGTTCCAAGCCATTGTGACAATATACCCAAATAAGCTAAAAAGATCTGAGATGGACACATACCATATATGTAACACAAACTCAGATTATTTCCATATTAGTCCAATAGCAAGAAATTCTTCATTTATCTCATAGCTCTCCCAATGGCTTTGAAGGGGTAGAGAAATTATTTCCCTGATCTTGTTTATTCAGTCACTAAGTTTATTCAGGTCGCTTGTTTGTTCATGTCCCACTCTTCTGTGACCCCATGGACTGTAGCCCACCAGGCTCCTCTGTCCATGGGACTTTCCAGGCAAGAATACTGGAGTGGGTATGTTGAATAGATGCCTGCTTATTTCTTGTATGGAAAAGTCTAGATTGGGAGGATTATTTTGTGTATGAAAAACTGTATTATGATTGGGCATGGGATTACTGAACTATAGAGTTAGAATGGATGTTAGAAGTCATCTTTGATAGCCTCTTCATTTGACAAATTTATTCTAACATGTACTAATTGAGTGCCTGAGGTCCAAAGAGGCCTGAGAAGTGGTGTCAACATTGTGCTTTGAGTCAAAGCTTTGAGTCACCAGGAAATATTAAAAAAAAAAAAAACACATGCATTTCCTGGACTCCAGCTGAGGAATTTTGATATAATTGCTCTGGTGTGAGGTCTGGATGTT